GTGTCAGAAGAGGGCTTAGAAAATAATAATACAAAAAAAAAAATAAAAATTTGACCAAAAGGGCTCTTGGGGGCAAGGAACAAAAGGGGTACGTGCTCAAGCCCCCACCAGCCTCTCCCTCTGCACGCGCCTGCTTAAGGTAGACTCTAAAGCTTCATCTATGCAGTCAGTTCATCAACAACTCTATCAGCTAGTTTATGAGATTTAACAGCACACAGAACTACTACTCACCATGACCGAGTTGTATGTTTATTTTCATGACCACCCTAGTCTGCCTTAGGTGCCACCTCCCAAAATTGACTCATTTTTTGTCATTAGTTATTTCTTTGTCTAAATTATATTAAACCAATATTTTGGTTTCTATATTTTCTGTCAAAGTTCAGCAGAGAAACAAATAAAAAGTAAGGAACTGTTTCAATGAAGTTGTTTTCTTTTTATGTATCTAATTTCTAGGGGGAAAAAAAAATTATGTTTTGGTCATTGTTTAAGCAAATACAACATACTCAGATTAATTAAATTAACTTAAATTATGTTTACTAAAATTGCAAAAGTTATTGTTGCTCAATCAGTACAGTTTTGAAAACAATTTGTTTAAGCAAGTTTGTATATGCTTTTAAAGTAAACTCCACTTATTTCATTTCAAGCCCCCTGGCTTAAATCAAAATATGCCAGAGGTATAAAAACTTTAAACACAGGCTAATAAACTAAGAATTCTAGGCTGTTTTTTCAAGTTGATGTTTTGTTCATATAAGCAATCAGGCCCCTGCTGCGCAATTAACTCGATGCACTGATCTAGAGCATTCTAAATACCACTGTATTTTTCTACACATTTACTTCTCCAGCCATGCTGGCTCCTTTAAATTAGAAACACCTCTCATTTCACCAGACCAATCAGACTGGAGATTGGCTACGGTTCAGATGAAGACAAAAAACATATTTTGATTGGCTAGTAAAGATTGGTACATTTATCTTGACCAAACAAATTGTTTTTAATAGAGTTGCTGTGGTGTCCAAAAAGTGGAAACAAATTTATAATCCTGAGATAAATAACAGTGCTTGGGGTCAAAGCACTATAATGAGTTACCTGACAGATTCGAATGGCGTTGTCCAAAATTGTTTTTGTATCAGTTGTGTAGTCACTACATGGGAGTTGGGTGTGGCTGAAGTGTGCTTGCAGCAAAAGATGAGTCTTGGTGTGTGCACTGTCAAAGGAGCGGGGGTTGACCTGCAGAGGGAGCTGCTGAGCTAGCTGGCTGTTGAGCTGGTCCTCGTTGTGTCTGACCGGTAGCTCAGCGTATTCCTCTGCATCCTAAAAAACATCAAAAGTGAAACGAGCAAGTCAGCCCTGGTGCTTTCTCTGATGCAATGAATCCCAAACTGCTTCACAGTACATTCAGTCATTCACCCATTCACACACACATTTACAATGTAGTATCTGTTGCTACTACACCCTAACCACAGCTGCCCTGAGCCACCAGGCCCTCTGGCCCTCACCAGGTGGCAAGATGGGTGAAGTGTCTTGCCCAAGGACACAACAACTGAGACAGACATGTCAGGGCTTTGAATTGGCAATTTACTGGTTACAGAACAAACTCCTGCCAGAGCTGCTCTTTGTTTGGACTTTAAGTATGATGATGTGGGCATGTTTCTTCAGGATTTAGCCTTGGTTCCTTACTTCCAGTGTTCTTAATGTAATTTTATAATTTTAATATTGTTTCTTTGAATTAATTTTGTGTATTTTTATGGTGTCATTGAGTGCCAATAAAGACGTCTCCAAATAAAATGTATTATTATTCTTAATGCTTCCCCATACCAAAAGGGGTTTAAGCTCCTGACTCTGAAGTGTCACTAGGGAATGGCCCTTCCTGTTCCAACATGAATGCATCCAGTGCATAAAGCAAGATAATCAAGGTCATGGATAAGCAAGTTTGGAATGGAAGATTGTCTCTGCACAAACAGTTGATATCAACCAATAAGATACCTTTGATAAAAACAAGAGTAGACAAATGCTGAAGGAAGTTTTGTTCATATAAGCAATCAGAATTTGTGCACAAAATAAAAAAAATAAATAAAAAAAATAGAGCTGCAATATTGTAATTTTACAGTTTATTATTATGGTTCTGCCAAATAAATGGACTTTTTGGACTTTTTGAAAATGTTTTAACTTATACATGATAAGACACTGAGAAACCAAAGCATCTTGGACTGATGCTCATC